AAAAATGTGGGCATGCATGGACTCCTTCAAATGTCCTTTATTGGCTTTATTTTTTTAAGTCAAATAAGTTGTGTATATTAGTGAAACACTTAGACCACTAATTCGGGGTTTTAATTCCTTCCATTTGAGCTCGTTTGGGAAGGGTTCATTTGATCACGTTAATTAGGACATATGGCCTCAACATCCTATAGATTTAAGAATGATAGAACAATATTTATAATAACAAATTGTAAATGGGAATAAGAAACAAAATTCTTCTTCTTATCGTTTCCAAAATTTCTATATAATTTTTAAAATGTTTCTAAAAAATGAGAAACAAGAAACATAAATAATTTTCATATGGTTAGACTTCTTAATAAAATTTGGAAACAAGAAATAAAAAACAAAAAGTTACCAAACGAGTCATGAGATTTCTGTTTCTTGTTTTTGTTTTTAGCTTTTTAGAAATTGAAAGATTTATTGTAACAATTTTTGTTTCTTATTCTTCATTTTTAAGAAACATTTTTAAAATCATGTAGAAGTTCAAGTTTCCCGCCCGTTGTTCCAACTTTCAGTTTCTAGTTCTTTCCAAAATATAAATAAAAGTATTATTTTTATCACTCTTGACTTATAATTATAAAATGCATAATAAATATTTTAAAATTTTAATATAACATTAAAAGTTTGATTATTTAATTTAAAATTTTAGAGAATGATAAACAATAAATAGTTACCAAACATATTTCAGTTTTTTTTTCAATAAAAAAAAAGAAACGGTTATATCAAATGTAGCTCTATTTTTTGTTATAAAAAAAAGAAAATAAGAAACAAAACAAAAAAATAAGAAATAGAAACGTTATCCAACAAATCTTTGAAAATTTAATTAGAACTATACATGCTATCCATTTACAACTATCCATATATCAGTCCTCTATTTATTATGTCATGTTAAATTAGTAAATTTATGATTAAATTATAATTTTAGTTCTTAAATTTTATCAATTTTGTCCTATTAAGTTCTAGATTTTTAAAAGATCATATAAAGTCTTGAATTCTAAAAGGTGTCTAATAAGTTTTTGAACTTGTTCGATAGATTTTTTAACTTTATAATTATATACTTCATGGTCACCTATTTAAAAATTAATTTTCTATGTATTTTCTTAACAACAAATAGTAAGGTTGAACAATTAGTCTACACAAATATCAAAATATATATATATATATATTAGACTTAAAGTTAAAATTTAAAAATTCATGAACCATACAAGATTCAAAATTATTTATTAAATTATTAAACACAACCTTGAAAATTCAAATACAACATACAAAAAGATTAGAAACAAAACTTACAATTTAATAGACATGTCACATCATAATTTCAAACATAATGTTAATGTCACAAATTATGTATTTGGATAATTCAAAGCTTATAAATATATTTGAAACTTCTCGTAGTTTTATATAGTAAATCGGACACCCAATTAAAACTTTAAGAGGGTGTTTGGTTCTCGTTTTCAAAACGGCGGATAGGTCGTTTGTTTCACAGTTTTATAAACCTAAATTTGCTACAGTAAATAAATATTATTCCACTTCAGATTGTAAAAGGAAGCATTATTCCACTCTCCAAATTGCTGCACTACTTTATCCTTACTCTCCAAGCTACTGATACAGTGTATATTTTGTCTTTATTCTATCTCCTAATTAAAATTAATTTATTTTTTTAATTAACTATATTAAATAAATAAGGAAATTAATTAATTATAATTATAATTATGTAAATCAATTTAATTAAAATTACATGTAATAAATAATTAATTCATATATTGATACTTTTTTATCTAGATTTTTTTTTTCCAAAAATAAAATGTAATTGTCAAATAAAAATAAGTGAAATTTAATAGTAATGTGGATTTTTTTAACTAATTATTTAAAAAAAACAAATGACAAAAATAGTGTAGGTTTCAAAGTAATTATAAAAATAGGGTGGATAAATCGTAGGATGTCTGCGATTTGATCAAAGTTGCAGGCGTGGGCAACGATTTCATCGTAAATCGCAGCCATTGCCTGCGACTAAGGTCGAAATCGCGATCATTGACTGCAATTTCACTAAAGTCGCAGCCATTGTCTGCGACTTCTCCCCGTCTTTGTTGACGGGCTCTTTGTTCTTTTTTATTTTATTTTTTATTATGTTGAATTTGGAACTCGCAGTCCATTCCCTTTATTCTTTTCTTTATTATTATTATTATTATTATTTGGGACTTAGAAGTCGCAGCCACACTTTGTCCTTTTTCTTATTTTATTTTATTTTAAAAAAGTAGAATTTAAGAAAAGAACTCAATTGTACAATCTTAATTTTCTCCATATTTGAAAAATAGGTCATGCATTACCTACATAGTGATGGACATCTTTGTGTAATGCAATAATTTAAAACAAAATAATTATAAAACAAACAAAATTCTAATTATCCATACCTCACATTCAGAAACGGCCTCTTTATACTTTGACTTTTATGTTTTTATTAATTTAATAATTTTTTATCGATTTAGTTTATATTAAAATTAAACGTTAGTTTATAGAGATAAAGCAAGAAGCTAAATGACATTTTAATCATCGAATTGGTTTTAATCTAATTTTAAACTTTCAGATTTTAAATGACATATTAATCAAAATTTAAAATATAATAACAAAAAATAAAAAATTTAATCACATCTAATTAAATTTCACAATATTAATAAATAAAAGGTTGAAGTCGTGTACAATTTACGCGACACCCAAAAAAAAGGTGATGTACGCGACTTTCCGCCTAGTCACTTGCCACGTTTGCACGAAAATTGTAGGCATCAGTACGCGAGTTTTGATGTCAATAGATTTGAAAACCTAACTTACCATTGAATTTATTTATTTAAATTACATTTATTTTGCGGTTATTTTAAAATAACATTATTTTTGTAATTTATTTTTAAAATTAGATTATTTTAAAACTTTGTCAATGATAATTAAGTAATAATTTTTTTAGAATAATTAAGTAATCAAATTTACTTAAGATAGTAAATACTGAAAAATTAAATAAATTGTTATGGTAAAATTTATGTCGAATGAATTTGTATACTCTTGTTTAAATTGATAAATGTTTTAAAAGTATTTTCTTAGATAATTGAATATTTATTTTAGAAATTAATCATTGGAAAAAAAATTTGATGGACAAATATATTTAAAATATTTTATATATCTTGAAACAATATTTCATAATTTCATAAGAAAATTGACTTTTGTGAAATAATTTAAACGTAATTTAAAATTATTTTAATTAAATATTTAGTTTATAAATTATATTTTTTTAAAGAAAATTAAAACTTAACCAACCGAAAACAAGTTTAATAAAATTAGTTTAACAAAATACAAAACAAAGACTTAACCAAAACCAAACACAAAGTTAACAAATCTAGATTTAATAAATCTATTTCTTGCATCAATCAAATACAGACAAAACAGTGAACCAAACACCTCAAAAAGTAATTGCAATTAGATTTATAATTCAACGTATTAATTTAAATCTCATTAGAAAACTAAATAGAGAGTTAGATTAAGATAGCTACTCTTTGTTAAAGGTTATAACTTTTTCACCTCGTCATAAGAGAAAAGTTGAACTTCAAATCCATCCATTTGCTTATGTGCTCATTACCACCATATGAATCGAAAAATCTGATCAACTCAATCCAATTTATACAGTTTTAGTTGAAATATAAATTAATTTAGATTGAGTTTTGATTCAAATAATTGAAAATTTTATGAATTTGATTTTTTAATACAATATGTGGAGATGGAGATTCGAACTTACGACTTTCTAGTCGGAGCGAGGTACCTTAATCTGCTAAACTAAGTTCAAGTTCGCAAAGATTTACCTAAACTTAATTTAGATTGAATCGGATCAATCTGAACTTTATTATTAATTTCGAAACTTTTTTTATTTACCATAAAATTGTATAGGGATATATTTATTCTAATTTTATTTAATGATTATTTATTCTCCAACAATTTTTTTTAAGTCTTTGGAGTATAATTTTCACCCTATAAATAAACATTAAACTTACAAATTTTTATTCAATGTTAGAAACGTAGAAAATATGTGAATAAACAAAATAAATGTTTAAGCTATTAACCTTTATCCTTGTTTGTTATACAATATTTTGAACGAGTAACAGAGTGTGTGCTTGGTTGGTGATTTGAACACAAAAACTTAAAACTAAAGATTCAATGAAAAATAGAGTTGTATTCTTTATTTTCAATATTTTCAGATATGTGTTAGATAGTAGATTTGGAAATTGAATATAATTTAAAAAATTGTTCATTGGGTGTTTAATAATAAATTTGTAAAAGTTACCGATTAAATATTTAATTCAAACTAAATAATATAATTAAATTATTAATAATTTTGTTATAAATTTTGTATAATTATTATTTTACAATATTATATAATTTTTCATATATTATTTTTTACCTGTTTTAATTTTAACAAAAACGAAATGATTTTATAATATGAAATAATATATTTATCAAAACTTTTCATGTTTTTTAATATAATGATGCATTTTAGACTCTCAAATTCAAAACTCGAAAATACTAAATTTCTACTCTTCGGATCACATCATCCAAAATCAATTTTAAAAATCAAACCTGCAAAATACATATATGGTCAACCAAACGGATTACACAAATCAAATTTGATTAGAAAAACAACTTCAATCCAACCCAATCCCAGAAATAAAGATCCCTACGCCCACTTGCCCATGTCCTCATTACCACCATGCAACAAATTCATGATGTTGCCTATATTTTATCTCTCTTACCTTTTCCCTTGTTTGTTGTTCCTTTTTTGAACATGTAGGAGAGAGAGAGAGAGAGTAAAAAACTTCCAATTAACTCTTTCATCTCTTCACAATCCCACTTCACATTTTCACCTATAAATTCTCTACTCACCCACTTCTTTCTTCATCTTCAACCTCCCTTCTATTCCCCTCCCATCCTCCACAAGCCACATATCTTCAATTTCAACAAAATCCCATCTCTTTTTTTCTGTTCTCAGCTCATATAAACTTCAAAGTTTCAATCTTTTTACCCAATTGTTCAAACCCAAATCTCACTTTTTTCCTCTCTCTCTCTCTGTTTTTTTTTTCTTTTGCTCTGTTTTTCCCTCTTGTTTTGGATACACCAAATCGAAATGTCGTCGAGTATCTATCAAGGGTTGCAATCATGTCTGACGGAACCACATGTTCTAAGGCTCAAATTGACTCCCTCAAAATCCAATTCTTCCCGGCCGGCGGCGGCGGCGGCGGAGGATGAAGATTCTGAGCTCTCTGCCGCTCATTGTGATGCACAAATTGAAACCCATCTCGAAATGGGGGAAAATAGCGCCGCCAGCTCTGCTCCGGCGGCCGACATGACCGCCGCGGAGGGCGGCGGAAATGGTGGTGGTGGGTGGAGCTGTCTCCAAGCTCTGTCCGGTGTGTATGTTGACCCTCCGACTAAGCAGAATTCTCCGACGACGCTCAGCCGGAGGAGCCTTGAAATGTGCACCGAGAGCTTGGGGAGCGAGACCGGCAGCGACGGCAGCGAGACCAGCGGCGACGAGAGAATGTCTCTGCTTCTGTTGGACGAAACAGAGGTATCTCCAATGGCTTCCGACGAAACGCCGCAGCCTCGGTTTTCGAGACATTCGAAATTGAGAGCGACAAAGAAACTTGCCAGGCCGAAGTAAACCGCCGCTAAATTCATAACTTTAATTTAAACACGTTTGATAACTATTTTATTTTTTATTTTTTTATTTCTAAAATTAAACTTATACCTACTCTTATTTATGTATTCATTTATTTTGTTATGGCTTAAAAAAATTAGATCAAAATAGTTTTCAAAATCTTATTTTTGTTTTTAAGATGGGGTTAAGAATTCAAAGATAGAAATGGTGAGAAACCAAGCACAATTTTTTAAAATTGAAAATTAAAAAGAAATCATTATCAAACGAAATATAAATAGATAGATTACGACATATTTCTTTATTTATTTACTTTTTTCAAACTCTCCTGAGGGGTGTGAGCTTATAAAACAACACAAAAAACCCAACAATTGACAATCAACGTTAATAAGAGATCAAGAAATGTGCACTTTCTATTCTCATATCTATGTGATTATGTTCGTTTAATCATGTATTCATATTCTTAACGAGCAGCTATCCTCCGCTGCTGTCATCAATGAGTGGGCCAATGGGTGTGAAGGTGAAGCCTTACAGGGAAGAAGGACGGCTGGTGCTGAAAGCAGAGTCGTTGCCATCGGTGAAGCCATGTTTGTTGGTGGAGCGAGGTGACGGGAGGTTGAGGCTACGATTGGCGAACGATCATTGTATCGTCGAGGAAGAGGAGGAAGGGAAGGAGGAGAATAATATAGGGAAGCTTGGGATGGGTAGGAGGTGCAAGTGCAAGGAAGGAGAGGGAGGGAGGAAGGGGTTGCTCAATTGGAAGCCATTTTTGGTGTCCACTTGAAGCTTTTCTGTCTCTATCTTCTCTATCATATTGGCTATGATATTTTATTACTACTTTTTCTTCTCTCTTTTGGGATTTCTATGACTTGTACGTTTGATTTTGCAATATGTTAATGGTAGTTATTATAGTTACTCTTTCTCTCAAACAACTTTTAAAAAAGGTTGTTGCCATTGTACTACTATTTGGAAGTTATGAAATCAATTTGAAAAATTGCTTCCAAAAATAGGGGGTGTGGAGATTTGAACCTCTGATCTTACAAGAAATTATTATTATTTACTGTTGAATTATACTTATACTAGCATAGAAAAGATTAAGATTATCATTGTAATCATTACGACTTTCGTTTTTTTTATTTAGATTATATATGATTATAATCGTGCGTTTATTTAAACTATATAGATGGAAATTTTTCAAAGAGTTTGAAATATTTTGTGGCTTAACCATATATGTTGACAAAGATAACTCAATTAATAAAGACGAATTGATTTATAATGTGTCTCCCATTTGTAATTTACTTCGTCATAAAAATAAATAAGTCTTGGAATATAAAAGTGCCCGATAGGTCCTTTAAACTTCATATTTATATCTAACAAATATCTGAATTTTCAATTTTATGTGTCTTTATTCAACATTGATTATAGAATTCATTATATTTATATACCAGACACAAGACTGAGTGTGGAACCTTATTAGACACAACACTAAAAATTAAGGAAATAAACTTGTAATTTAGCTAGAAACGTATTTAAATCAGTAACTATGATTATATAATATTTATAGATACAAGAGCCTCGATAAAGAAAAGGATTAAGATCAATCTTACTTTAACTTACATACACTTATGTTGAGGGTGTTGTCTCATGAAAATTAGGATCTTTGAATTAGTCGACTTAGTTAGTTGATTGAGAGACAACGACAAAGATGACAGTTTCATACCAAGAAAATTACCTTAAACACATGAACTATATGTCAAATGGTGGCATGTTGCCCTTGTCCTAAAACTCTCTATAAACTAAAAATTTTGAAAAAGGTTCACAATATTGGATCCTTGATTGGAATGTTGAAGGAAATAAAGTGAAGTGGAAGGGCCAAGTTGTGAGGAACTAAAAGGACTAAAGAGAGAGGACATAGAGAGTGCATGCCCTGCTAAATTTCATATGGGTGTAGGACCCTATTGAGAGAGACCAAATTGGGACTGAGTGATCTCTGATCTCCCCTATCATCATCTATGTGCTTTAGGGTTTCTAAGTCCTTACATGATATCACCTAATAGGATCCACATTCTCTCTTCACCATCAAAATCGAATTGAAAAACTCCGTTGTTTTCCATACGAGGTTGATCGTCTCAACTCGGAACAGAGAAGGGACTTTTCTAAAAAGGCTAAGTAATCTTTGCGAAACAAAAATTTAGACCGAGTTAAAAGTTTGTTTTTGTTGATGTATCTCGACTCAAACTGAAGCAATGAATTCATGAAACAAATACTAGATTACGTCATCACTTTTGAAAAAAGTAATAAAGAAAACAGTAAATTAATTCTCTATGTTCGTCAGCCTAGGCAATGAGCCCCAGTTATAGGAATCCACTACAATATAATTCACTCAAAATGAAGAGATTTTTTTTAATAAAGGGTTGACGACCCTTGAATGTGCAACCCTTTAGATTTGCCACTTGCTCAAAATATCAACTCATAATCTTAACACAGGCCATTAGAGCATAAACCACACTTACATATAGGGGTTAAAATAAGGGATCGAGCCATGCAACAAACTTCAAACGAAACGTGTTCGAGTGAGTCCATAATGAGATCAAATTTGACATAGGATTAGAGTTTTTTTTTTCCTTTCCATGGGAAAAATTTATAGGGGTTAAAATAAGGGATCGGGCCATGCAACAAACTTCAAACGAAACGTGTTCGAGTGAGTTCATAATGAGATCAAATTGACATAGGATTAGAGTTTTTTTTTTCCCTTTCCATGGGAAAGATTGGGAAAGAATAATGTGGTTGGTTAGGGTGGGTAACATTTTTTGGAAGGGCATAGGATGTGGGAAGAGAGGGTTGTCCAATCATGGAGGTGCCCATAGAGTGAAGGGTACAACTTTTTTGGGGAGTGGTTTCTTGGATAGGGAAAGGGGAAGAAGATGTCAACTAAAGCATATATATGTTGCATCATTGTGTCCCTCACATCATGTGCTTCAAGAATTAACTTCATTTCATATCTATATATATGTTTCTTTTTTGTGTGAGAAAGGACCCATTTTATCTCACCAAATCCTCACCCCATTAAGCAAAAATATTTAAATGTCACATAAAGTTCTTGTTTGGCAATGTACTATGTACAAGTGAATTATATGTAGTTTAGGTTTTGAATTAAAGTGTGAATATGTAATGAATTTTTTTTTATGACCTGCCATCGATATAGTTAATTAACTTTTTATCCCTATAGTGGGGTGAATACAA